TGTTTGGGTCTACCGTATCTAATTATCAAAAGGTGCTATTTACGTGTGCGTCTTTTGTACAATATTTTAGCGGTTTGGCTGTTTGTTTTCATTCACTGCATTGAATTTAATTTAAAATTTCCTTTTGAATATCAAGAAGTATTATAGCTTTGTGACTTTAATGTATGTTGGTTAATTTCAGACCAAAGTACCAGTGAAGACTCCGAAACCTTGGCCAGTACATCTGTGACACCAGACACTTACACAACAGGTCATACTACATTTACAGTATATGACAGTGATTTCGAAAGTCAAACCACTCCAATTTCCGTCGGTGGTGTGGCAGTGACTAAAACAGAAGACAGCATGATATCGTCTAACATTAAGACGTTGCCACATTACCCCTTGTACAGTATGTCTGATCCTGTACCCAGCAGGACTTCAACATCCCCAGATTCTTCAACGGAAAGCAATACTCTGTTTGTATCATCGGGAATCTATTCTAGCTTTCAAACATCTGTGGACAAAAGTTATACAATACGAACCACGCCCTCATTGAGTGGAAATGTGGCATATTCTAGGATATATACCGCAAGTCATACCCAGTTAAAGGCAAACTCAGAGTCAGTCCTGGATACAAAACCGGGTAAGCGTCATACCTCAATACGTTATTGTAAATCGGTCATAAGAAATGGACTTGATGTCTCGTGAGGTCACACTGATGTTTATCAAGAAATCGCTGCGGATCATGTCAATCATAGAGATTTTCAGGGTGAAGACATATGATAATGAATTATTTAAGACATTGGCATTTGTTTAAATAATGAGAAATCATACAGCAAAATGAACAAATTCCAAACGTTCTATTTTGGATTATATAAGTATTAAAGTAACAGCGCATTAACGGTAGCGTGACATCACTATTGAAAACGTAAAATTAATATACTGTAAAATTTTACAAGTGCTCCATTTTCGTTTTTTGTTTGTTTGTTTGTTTTTTGGATACTTGATTACACGTGGCATTACTTTCTTGGATTGATCAAGGTTTACATGGCGAGTGGCATAGACAAAGCAGAAGACGCTTACTCTTCCAGAACACTTTGTCACATTCTCCTTCTGTACTTATACTTTGTTTGTCGTGTTCTCAATCCGTGCTTTGTTTCTATGGTTCATATTTTCCCTAGTTCTATTGAATTTGAGTTTGGATTATAATCATGTTTACATGTTGGTATTTTCTTGTTGTTGTCGTGAATTAAGAGTACCAAGAAATCAATGAAAATAAATGCCCCACGAAAATTGATGGTTTTAAAGTGTTTAATTTTGTGTATTGATTTGGTAATGTTTGGTGTACGCGCTAGATTTACTTAATATTTATCACATCAACTGTTCACACTTTAGTGAGAATCAATATTTACAAGTTTATACCATCGGAGTAAGATATCAAACAGTCATGTCAGCTATATCAACGTTTTTTTATTAACAAGTGACATTTCTTCTCTCTTCTTGTATAATGAGTACCTTAATCTGAAAAAATATCCGAAAATTTCCATTTAATGAACAAAGTCTCAGGTTTGCCTAATGTGATCGCATTTTGTTCGGCGTCGTCCATAGTTTGTTGTAAACTTTAAACATTTTCGACTTCTTCTGAAAATTTCAAGAACCGATTTCAAGGAAATTAAAAAGATACCTTCCATGGCTTAAGAAAAACAAAACTTGTAAATTATATTGTCCCCAACCCCGCGGGCTTGAGGGGTGGGACAAAACAGTGTCAAATTGTGTGAAAATTAAAAAAAAACTTTCTCCTGAAATCCAAGGTACTGTAGAATCAAGTACTCTTTATGGATGGAAAGGCCTTCAGATGCTTTGCAAAAAGTGTGAATTTCATGACCCCATTTTTACCTTAAAAGGGGGTAATGTTTACTATAGTTTATATAGGAAAATTATGTCTTTTAACATTATTTGTTTATTTTCTGTTGGAAATAGTTAACCTGGTTAGAATTAGTTTAAGACTATCATTTAACGTTAGGCTTATATTGACCTCGGCTGATCTCTAGGGGCTGTTGGGCGGGGCCAAAAATGGGTCAAACGGACTGAAATTTCAAAAAATATTCTTGTTAAATCTCAGGTATGGTTGAGTACTCTCAAGTACTCTTCTTGGATGGCAGTATCTTACGATGCTTTAGAAAGATTGTAAATTACTTTATTCTCTGTAGGAAAATAATGTTTTAAGCATAATTTATTTATTTTCTTTAGAAATAGTTCAAATGTGGTTAGATTATTATATTGGTATAACCTGATAATTTGATTAGATGCACATATTGACCTTGACTGACCCCCAAGGGCTAATGGGCGGTGCTAAAAAATGGTTCAGATTGACTGAAATTTCAACGGTGTCCAACTTCCTGGAACGATTTTATATACCGTAGGAAAATTCAAATCTTGAATGTAATTTCTTTTAATTCAAACTTAGTTAGGATCCTTAGCAAAGAACAACAGTTAATGTATACACAATTTACATTTGCATTATGTGTATAATATGGATAAAGTTATATGACTTTTTTAAACAAAGTCATTTCTATGACATGTTACAAGACGCATTATGACGTAGGTGACCATTAACGCACGTGCGCCTCTTGTTATCGAAATATTTTGTTTTCTGATTTTAAGAAAATAACCTGTTTTTTTGTGAATCAGTAAATTTCTTTTTTAAATATTTTCAGTTTTGCGAGGACAAAAGTTTATTTCTTATGAATTTTGTACGGTGGACAACTGAACGCTGTGTTATATGTTTGATAGAAATCTATTTGATATGTTCACGATGCTTTGATGTCTATAGTTTGATCTATAGTTGCTGGATACAAGGATATTAAAACAAAGCACGAATTTATTTATTTACATTTCATATTTCAGAAACTTCAATAAGCAGAGGGCTAACAGCCATACAAACGACAGCTAAGTATATATCAGAAACACACACAGAAAGCATGAAGTTAGAACAACATAGATCCATATTTCAGGAAAATGAAAAACAAAAAATATTGACTGATTTAAAATCGTTAGAGCCAGCTACAACAAACACTCAACTTGGTAACACCGTCAAACATGCTATAACACAACGAACGACAACAACAAATACTGAAACACATGCTACATTGAAAACTACAGATACAACCGTCTCACCAACAACTACAGATCCATCCGTCTCACCAACAACTACAGGTACATCCGTCTCACCAACAACCACAGACACATCCGTCTCATCAACAACTACAGACACATCCGTCTCACCAACAACCACAGACACATCCGTCTCACCAACAACCACAGATACATCCGTCTCATCAACAACTACAGACACATCCGTCTCACCAACAACCACAGACACATCCGTCTCACCAACAACTACAGGTACATCCGTCTCACCAACAACTACAGATACATCCGTCTCACCAACAACCACAGACACATCCGTCTCACCAACAACTACAGACACATCCGTCTCACCAACAACTACATATACATCCGTCTCGCCAACAACTACAGATATATCCGTCTCACCAACAACCACAGATACATCCGTCTCACCAACAACCACAGATACATCCGTCTCACCAACAACTACAGATATATCCGTTTCCCAAACAGCCACAGATACATATGACACAGTAGCAACCACAAATACAGACGTCGCAGTAACATTTACCGATTCATCTGCCACACCGAATGCTTCAGATACATCCGTCTCACCAACAATCACAGATACATCTGTCTCACCAACAACTACAGACACATCCGTCTCACCAACAACTACAGACAAATCCGTCTCACCAACAACTACAGACACATCCGTCTCACCAACAACTACATATGCATCCGTCTCACCATCAATTATAGAGACATCGGTCTCACCGACACCTGCAGACTCATCCGTCCCACCAACAACAACAGAAACATCAGTCTCATCAACAACTACAGAAACTTCCGTCTCAACAACAATTGCAAAAACATCCGTCTCATCAACAACTATTGACACCAACGTTTCAAAAATATCTACTGATACACATGTTTCACCAAAAACTACTGATATCAACGTCACACCAACAACTAAGTATACATTTATTTCAGTAAAACCTGCCGAAACGTTACTCTCTCCTACAATTGCAGACACTTTTGCTACATTTCCAACTATAGATACAAATACAGAGACATCCGACTCACCAACAACAACAGATACATCCGTTTCAGCAACAACTACAGATACATCCGTCTCACCAACAACCACAGATACATCCGTGTCACAAACAACCACAGACACATCCGTCTCACAAACAACCATAGATACATCCGTCTCACCAACAACTACAGACACATCCGTCTCACCAACAACCACAGACACATCCATCTCTCCAACAACTACAGGTACATCCGTCTCACCAACAACCACAGACACATCTGTCTCACCAACAACTACAGATATATCCGTCTCACCAACAACCACAGATACATCCGTCTCACCAACAACTACAGACACATCCGTCTCACCAACAACCACAGACACATCCATCTCTCCAACAACTACAGGTACATCCGTCTCACCAACAACCACAGACACATCTGTCTCACCAACAACTATTATCAACCAACAACTACATATGCATCCGTCTCACCAACAACTACAGATAAATCCGTCTCACAAACAACCACAGACACATCCGTCTCTCCAACAACTACAGATCCATCCGTCTCACCAACAACCACAGACACATCCATCTCTCCAACAACTACAGGTACATCCGTCTCACCAACAACCACACACACATCTGTCTCACCAACAACTACAGATATATCCGTCTCACCAACAACCACAGATACATCCGTCTCACCAACAACCACAGATACATCCGTCTCACCAACAACTACAGATATATCCGTTTCCCAAACAGCCACAGATACATATGACACAGTAGCAACCACAAATACAGACGTCGCAGTAACATTTACCGATTCATCTGCCACACCAAATGCTTCAGATACATCCGTCTCACCAACAATCACAGATACATCCGTCTTACGAACAACTACAGACACATCCGTCTCGCCAACAACTACAGATACATCCGTCTCACCAACAACTACAGACACATCCGTCTCATCAACAACTACATATACATCCGTCTCACCAACAACCACAGACACATCCGTCTCACCAACAACCACAGACACATCCGTCTCACCATCAACTACAGATACATCCGTCTCACCAACAACTACAGACACATCCGTCTCATCAACAACTACATATACATCCGTCTCACCAACAACTGCAAATCACCAACAACTCATCCGTCTCACCAACAACTACAGAGACATCCGTGTCACCAACAACTACTGATACATCCGTCTCACCAACAACTACTGATGCATCTGTCTCAGCAACAACTATAGAGACATCCGTCTCACCATCAATCACAGATACATCCGTCTCACAAACAACCACAGATACATCCATCTCACTAACAACTATAGAGACATCCGTCTCATCAACAACTACAGAACACATCCGTCTCACCAACAACTACAAACAAACAACTACAGAGACATCCGTCTCACCAACGAGCACGGAAACATCCGTTTCATCAGCAACTATAGAGACATCCGTCTCACCAACAACTACAGAGACATCCGTCTCACCAACAACTACAGAGACATCCGTCTCACCAACAACTACTGATACATCCGTCTCACCAACAACTACAGAGACATCCGTCTCACCAACAACTACAGAGACATCCGTCTCACCAACAACTACAGATACATCCGTCTCACCAACAACAACATACAGACATCCGTCTCACATCAACTACAGTCTCACAACAAAAACTACAGAGACATCCGTCTCACAAACAAGTACAGATACATCCGTCTCACCAACAACTATAGAGCCATCGGTCTCACCAACAACTACAGATACATCAGTCTCATTAACAACTCCAGAGACATCCTTCTCACCAACAACCACAGATACATCCGTCTCAACAACAACTGCAGACACATCCGTCTCACCATCAACCACAGATACATCAGTATCACAAACAACTACAGAGACCTCCGTCTCACCAACAACCACAGATACATCCGTCTCACATCCGTCTCACCAACAACTACAGAAACATCCGTCTCAGATAACATCCGTCTCACCAACAACTACAGATACAAACGACTCACCAACAACTACAGACACATCCATCTCACCAACAACCACAGATACATCCGTCAAACAAACATATACAGATACATCCGTCTCACCAACAACCACAGAAACATCCGATCATCAACAACTACAAGAGACAACCACAGATACATCCGTCTCATCAACAACTACAAATACATCGCTTTCACAAACAACCACAGATACATCCGTCACACAAACAACCACAGATACATCCGTCTCACAAACATATACAGATACATCTGTCTCACCAACAACCACAGAGACATTCGTCTCACAAACAACCACGGAGACATCCGTCTCACCAACAACCACAGAAACATCCATCTTATCAACAACTTCAGAGACATCCGTCTCACCAACAACTACAGAGACATCCGTCTCACCAACAACTACTGATACTTCCGTCTCACCAACAACTACAGACACATCCGTCTCACCAACAACCACAGATACATTCGTCTCAACAACAACCACAGATACATCCGTCTCACCAACAACTACAGACACATCCGTCTCACCATCAACCACAGATACATCCGTCTCATCAACAACTACAAAAATATCGCTCTCACCAACAACCACAGATACATCCGTCTCACAAACATATACAGATACATCTGTCTCACCAACAACCACAGAGACATTATCCAACTCTCACCAACAACATCTGTCTCACCAACAACTAAAGAGACATCAGTCTCACCAACAACTACAGATACATCCGTCTCACCAACAACCACAGATACATCCGTCTCACCAACAACTAAAGAGACATCCGTCTCACCAACAACTACAGAGACATCAGTCTCACCAACAACCACAGAGACATTCGTCTCACAAACAACCACAGAGACATCCGTCTTATCAACAACTTCAGAGACATCCGTCTTACAAACAACTACAAATACATCGCTCTCACCAACAACCACAGATACATCCGTCTTTCCAACAACTACAGAGACATTCGTCTCACCAACAAATACAGACACCTCCGTCTCACCAACAACCACAGAAACATCCGTCTTATCAACAACTTCAGAGACAGTCGTCTCACAAACAACCACGGAGACATCCGTCTCACCAACAACCACAGAAACATCCATCTTATCAACAACTTCAGAGACATCCGTCTCACCAACAACTACAGAGACATCCGTCTCACCAACAACCACAGATACATCCGTCTCACCAACAACCACAGAAACATCCATCTTATCAACAACTTCAGAGACATCCGTCTCACCAACAACTACAGAGACATCCGTCTCACCAACAACTACAGAGACATCCGCCTCACCAACAACCACAGATGCATCCGTCTCACCAACAACCACCGATACATCCGTCTCACCAACAACTACAGAAACCTCCGTCTCATCAACAACTACAGAGACATCCAACTCACAACAACTATCTACTCACAACAAATCCGTCTCACCAACAACTACAGATACATCATCGTCTCACCAACAATTACAGACACATCCATCTCAACAACAACCACCGATACATCCGTCTCACCAACAAATAAAGACACATCCGTCTCACCATCAACTATAGAGACATCGGTCTCATCGACAACTACAGACTCATCCGTCCCACCAACAACAACAGAGACATCAGTCTTACCAACAACTTCAGAGACATTCGTCTCACAAACAACCACAGAAACATCCGTCTTATCAACAACTTCATGGACATCCGTCTCACCAACAACTACAGAGACATCCGTGTCACTAACAACTACTGATACATCCGTCTCACCAACAACTACTGATGCATCCGTCTCAGCAACAACTATAGAGACATCCGTCTCACCAACAACTACTGAGACATCCGTCTCACCAACAACTACTGATACATCCGTCTCACCAACAACTACAGATACATCCGACTTACCAACATCTGTAGAGCCATCTTTCTCACCAACAAATACAGACAAATCCATCTCACCGACATCTGTAGAGCCATCTTTCTCACCAACAAATACAGACACATCCATCTCACCAACATATGTAGAGCCATCTTTCTCACCAACAACTACAGATACATCCGACTCACCAACATCTGTAGAGCCATCTTTCTCACCAACAATTGCAGATACATCAGCCTCACCAACAAATACAGACACATCCATCTCACCAACATCTGTAGAGCCATCCAACAAATACAGACACATTCTCTCACCAACAACTACAGATACATCAGCCTCACCAACATCTGTAGAGCCATCTTTCTCACCAACAATTGCAGATACATCAGCCTCACCAACAAATACAGACACATCCATCTCACTTACATCTGTAGAGCCATCTTTCTCACCAACAAATACAGACACATCCATCTCACCGACATCTGTAGAGCCATCTTTCTCACCAACAAATACAGACACATCCATCTCACCAACATCTGTAGAGCCATCTTTCTCACCAACAAATACAGATACATCCGACTCACCAACATCTATAGAGCCATCTTTCTCACCAACAACTGCAGATACATCAGCCTCACCAACAAATACAGACACATCCATCTCACCAACATCTATAGAGCCATCTTTCTCACCAACAACTGCAGATACATCAGCCTCACCAACAAATACAGACACATCCATCTCACCAACAACTACTGATGCATCCGTCTCACCAACAACTACAGAGACATCCGTCTCACCAACAACTACAGAGACATCCGTCTCACCAACAACTACAGAGACATCCGTCTCACCAAGTATTCAATCATCCACCCTAAACCCTAAATGCTTTGCTACATCTTCAACGATGCCAATCAAGACGATCGTGGAGCCGTCATCTTGTAGACGAGGCCAGAAATGTCCTTGTAGACGCTTGCCACGGAAGAAATCGACTAACCTGACAATGGTGGCTGTGAAACAAGAGATGGAGAAAACAAAAGAACAACTCAGTGTAAAAAAATCAGCCTTGTCATCAACTGTTCGTAAAAAGACGAGTGCTTCTGACTCTCGAACCTCTGCTTCTCTTGTCGGATATACTGGCGCATTAATTTTACTCTCACTCGCTCTAATAGTTGTTATACAAGACATTATCAGTTTTATTAAATCACCCGACAAGTATTCAAAGCCGAGGAAAAAGAAAAAAGTTCGGAAAAAGAGGAGGGATAAATTGATCGTATCAGTGTAAAGAGCAGTTTGTAAAGCAACTGAATGTCTTGGACGTTTCAGATATAATACTGAATTACTACAGAAATGAATGAAACTGAACAGGACACACGTCAACACATATCATTCACTGATAATAACTATAGGTTTTAATTATTGATAATGTTAATATTTCACAACCTTACAACTGTATAAAAGATAACATCTCTAAGGACGATAGAAGTTATATTTAAAGACTTTCTGAATTTTCACGCCCAAAACACAGTAAAATAGACATGGACTTGAGCAAATTGATTAACATTCGCCTTTGATGGTTGTAAAAAATAAATTCTTTAAAATCAGAATGTAATGATACCAATATTAGATTGTGTCTGTTCTGCATTAAACCAAAGCTACTTAGACCAGGAATCTATTGTTTAATGTTTCAACCCCGATAACTTCTAGTTTGTGGTTCGCTAAACTTTGTGATTATTATTAGTAATTCTACCTCAAACAACAACATCATCGACGACAACAACAACAACAACAACTTATGTTAATAGTAAATATAACATAGGTTGAGCACCTGGGACTTATACCCAACAGAAGTTACTACATGTAACAGTGTAACACTGTAGACGGTGATCAATGGGGTCACATGTACAGGGAACATCTCACTGAGGAATAGACAGAAGTTACTACATGTAACAGTGTAACAGTACACTGTAGACGGTGATCAATGGGATCACGTCTACAGGGAACCTCTCACTGAGGAACAGACAGAAGTTACTACATGTAACAGTACACTGTAGACGGTGATCAATGGGGTCACATCTACAGGGAACCTCTCACTGAGGGACAGACAGAAGTTACTACATGTAACAGTGTAACAGTACACTGTAGACGGTGATCAATGGGGTCACATCTACAGGGAACCTCTCACTGAGGAATAGACAGAAGTTACTACATGTAACAGTACACTGTAGACGGTGATCAATGGGGTCACGTCTACAGGGAACCTCTCACTGAGGGACAGACAGAAGTTACTACATGTAACAGTGTAACACTGTAGACGGTGATCAATGGGGTCACATGTACAGGGAACATCTCACTGAGGAATAGACAGAAGTTACTACATGTAACAGTGTAACACACTGTAGACGGTGATCAATGGGGTCACGTCTACAGGGAACCTCTCACTGAGGAACAGACAGAAGTTACTACATGTAACAGTGTAACAGTACACTGTAGACGGTGATCAATGGGGTCACGTCTACAGGGAACCTCTCACTGAGGAATAGACAGAAGTTACTACATGTAACAGTACACTGTAGACGGTGATCAATGGGGTCACATCTACAGGGAACCTCTCACTGAGGAATAGACAGAAGTTACTACATGTAACAGTGTAACAGTACACTATAGACGGTGATCAATGGGGTCACATCTACAGGGAACCTCTCACTGAGGAATAGACAGAAGTTACTACATGTAACAGTGTAACAGTACACTGTAGACGGTGATCAATGGGGTCACATCTACAGGGAACCTCTCACTGAGGAATAGACAGAAGTTACTACATGTAACAGTGTAACAGTACACTGTAGACGGTGATCAATGGGGTCACATCTACAGGGAAACACGGTCCAGTCGTCTGCTTATCTGCTTTGTTGAAATTATTTATTTACAGCACGTTTGCTGATTTCAACAGGAACGGTCATAATTGTATATGAACACGCTAATTGGTAACCACGCAATTTTGTAAAAGAATACTAAAATGAGCAATATATATTCCACTAATTGTTCACATGGTATCAGCACTTTACGTCAATAAGTATTACTATGTTCCAACGAGTTCATCCATTGTTTCAAACATACTATCTACAGCTCACGGTCCAATTAATTTTGTTCTATTGTCACACATCTATATATTACAGTTAGGTTTATTTTTGGAAGGAGTATGTTTTCACACAGCACCGACATTAAACGATAGAACCACAAAAAATACCACGGATAGATAGTACCACGAAAAGGACAACGGATAGTACAACAGATAGATAGTACCACGGATAGATAGTACCACAGATAGATAGTACCACAGATAGATAGCACCACAGATAGATAGTACCACGGATAGATATTACCACGGATAGATAGTACCACAGATAGATAGTACCACAGATAGATAGCACCACAGATAGATAGTACCACAGATAGATAGCACCACAGATAGATAGTAACACAGATAGATATTACCACAGATAGATAGCACCACAGATAGATAGTACCACAGATAGATAGTAACACAGATAGATAGTACCACAGATAGATAGCACCACAGATAGATAGTACCACAGATAGATAGTAACACAGATAGATAGTACCACAGATAGATAGCACCACAGATAGATAGTACCACAGATAGATAGTACCACGGATAGATAGTACCACAAATAGATAGTACCACAGATAGATAGTACCACAGATAGATAGTACCACGGATAGATAATACCACAGATAGATAGTACCACAGATAGATAGTAATACAGATAGATACTAACACAGATAGATAGTACCACGGATAGATAGTACCACGGATAGATAGCACCACAGATAGATAGTAACACAGATAGATAGTACCACGGATAGATAGTACCATGGATAGATATTACCACAGATAGATAGTACCACGGATAGATAGCACCACAGGTAGATAGTACCACACAGATAGATATTACCACAGATAGATATTACCACAGATAGATAGTACCACAGATAGATAGTACCACGGATAGATAGTACCACGGATAGATAGTACCACGGATAGATAGTACCACAGATATATAGTACCACAAATAGATAGTACCACAAATAGATAGTAACACAGATAGATATTACCACAGATAGATAGTACCACAAATAGATAGTACCACAAATAGATAGTAACACAGATAGATAGTACCACAAATAGATAGTAACACAAATAGATAGTACCACAAATAGATAGTACCACAGATAGATAGTAACACAGATAGATAGTACCACGGATAGATAGTACCATGGATAGATATTACCACAGATAGATAGTACCACGGATAGATAGCACCACAGGTAGATAGTACCATGGATAGATATTACCACAGATAGATATTACCACAGATAGATAGTACCACAGATAGATAGTACCACGGATAGATAGTACCACAGATAGATAGTACCACAAATAGATAGTACCACAAATAGATAGTAACACAAATAGATAGTACCACAAATAGATAGTACCACAAATAGATAGTACCACGGATAGATAGTACCATGGATAGATATTACCACAGATAGATATTACCACAGATAGATAGTAACACAAATAGATAGTACCACAGATAGATAGTACCACAAATAGATAGTACCACAAATAGATAGTAACACAGATAGATATTACCACAGATAGATAGTACCACGGATAGATAGTACCACGGATATATAGCACCACAGATAGATAGTAACACATGTACCACAGATAGATAGTACCACAAATAGATAGTACCACAAATAGATAGTAACACAGATAGATAGTACCACAAATAGATAGTAACACAGATAGATAGTACCACAAATAGATAGTACCACAAATAGATAGTACCACGGATAGATAGTACCACCGATAGATAGTACCACAGATAGATAGCACCACAGATAGATAGTAATACAGATAGATAGTACCACGGATAGATATTACCACAGATAGATAGTACCACCGATAGATAGTACCACAGATAGATAGCACCACAGATAGATAGTAACACAGATAGATAGTACCATGAATAGCACCACAGATAGATTGTACCACATGTACCACAGATAGATAGTACCACAGATAGATTGTACCACATGTACCACAGATAGATAGTACCACAGATAGATAGTACCACAGGTAGATAGTACCATGGATAGATATTACCACAGATAGATAGTACCAGAGATAGATAGCACCATGAATAGATATTACCACAAATAGATAGTACCACGGATAGATAGTACCATGGATAGAAAGTACCACAGATAAATAATACCACAGATAGATAGTACCACAGATAGATAGTACCACAGATAGATAGCACCACAGATAGACAGTACCACGAAAAGGACAACGGATAGTACCACAGATAGATAGTACCACGATATAGGATTCAATCTAATTATTGGTGGATAATATTATCATGATGATAAAGGTTAACAAGCTTTAAAAACCCTGAAAAATCTTGCAGTGAAAATTTTGTTCAAGGATAAATTTACTGAACATATTGGTGACATGAGGTCCCAGAGGTGTTCCGCACCATTTGATCATCTTTATTGGTTTAGGCAATGTAAATTTATTTCTGTTTTCCCTTCGTCCTCATGTTCCCTTCGTCCTCATGTTCCCTTCTTCCTCATGTTCCCTTCATCCTCATGTTCCCTTCGTCCTCATGTTCCCTTCATCATTTGATAACAGCGGTATCCTTCACATGAATAATGAGAACTTTCTGAGAAATAACGACAACAAACTTCAACTATCCTAATTCAAGATGACCGCCTGTTGGCCATGCTGTTTCAGTGATCACTCTCAAAATTAACCTGATACAACTAGGGACTATCAGGTACATATACATTAAAGAGAACTATCCTTCCAGTGCTTCTCAAAAGTTAGCGATAATAATTTTCAATTTTCAAAAACTCAAGATGGCTGTTTGTTGGCTATTTAGCTTCACTAATCTGACTCAAAACTGAATGTTTACAATTTCGGAGCATTGGGAACGTACACATAATGTTCGAGAAAATATTACTCCATTACCTTTCAATACAGCGACAATAAACTTCAACTTTCAATCTCTAAGATGGCCGCCTTTCTGCCATATTGTTACATTGTTTTACTAATACTAAATCTTCCTTTCTCAGCACTGTATCTATACAGAACATGATCTAATCCATGCTTAGGTAATTACCCGAAATAACGTAAAGGCGTATTAATGTTATAATTGGTATTAATGTTATAATTGGTATTAA